GTGTATATATAATCTCTACTTTTGCTGAAAATTGCTTTTGATGTGCTCCTTAGAACTGCGCAGCTACGGAATTCAGCAGAGTCGTAAAAAATCAAAAAAAAAAAAAATATATGCAAAGAGTGCACTAATGTTCTCTTTACGACCATTTGTTGAGAAAATGTCTAAATTTTGCACTTTAAATGGTAATTTCATGTCTAAAACAAGGTACTGTATTGTCTTCGAGATGAATGTAAAGAACCATGAACGTATACGTAGTTCATGGATAGCAGCACGGGTTCTATTTTCAGCACAGAATGTTTTTCCAGACCTCTTCTTAATATGGAGGTAAAGAAAAACTAGAGGTACTGTGAGCGATGAGCTCACTAAATGATACCCCCGCCTCCATATAGTTATAATGGCAAAGTCCATGTTTTGCTATGGCCTTGAAACCCAAAATATTTGTCGAATCAAAAAGTAAAATAGGAGGTGCACAATGGCAATATGTAATAAAGATTCATCAAATTTCATTCGAAGGTATGAGAGGAGTTGCGGATAAGAGATGGGTACCCCAAAGCGTAACAGACGGACAGAAGGACGGACGGAATAAACGATTTCTATATACCCTCCCGCTTTTCAAGCGGGGGGCATAAAAATCAACATAATAAAATATTTTAGACCATCTTAAAAATTATGTTTGGTGGTCCTTCCAACTCATGGAAAAATTATTGGGTATGTATTGATAGATGAGAAAAAAATCCTTAAAATTTTAACATATTAGTTGACGGAATAAAAAGAAAAAAATATATCGTGTAATGGTATGCAAAAATAAATAAATAATTGAGTCGGGCCATTTCTAGTCAGTAAGTCGGGAGAGAGGGCAACCAAACATTTTTTTTAAGGTCATACGCAACGTAGTTTGAATTTTTTAGGGTTCTTCCCTGGAGTTGAAGAGTTCCACTATAAGAAGGACATGTGTGCAATATTTTTCATGTCTATATATGGATTTGTACACCTCGTCTTAAACAATTTTTGATGAAAAAAATCTGGAATTTATGTTTTATAATTTTTGTACATTTTTATTTGAATAATGCAAAAAATTTCAAAATTTGATATATTTCAAAACCTCTGGTAGGGCATGCTGATTTTTTGTCTATGAACATGTAATTATTTTATAAGTTTAAGTTTGGAATATCTTGGAAATCTATCTGTAGGTAATGTACGTTGCGTATGTCCTTAAAAAAAGATCGAGAGAACTTCACGATGAAGGATATATAGATAACGAATAGTATTCAATATCAAAGTCCATAAAACAATAGAAAATAGGAGCAGAGCAAACACAGACCTACGAAACATCAGAGGTGGGATCAGGTGCCATGGAAGATTGAGCATCCCCCTGCTGAACGGTCATACGCGCCGTGTGCTCCTTGTCATGATCAGGTAATAACAGAAAATCTGTTGTCAATTCAGTGTATAAATAATGGACTTACAATTCGTATGAAAAACGTCAGTCAGCATTTGACTCAATGATAAATTGTTTTTGCTGATAAAGTCATTGTATCGACCGTAAAACGTACAAATGATGACTTTAAACGAGTTAGTTGATATAAGGCGAGTACATGTTCCATCACGTACTTACATGTAGCGAGGCAAATTTCGGAAGCTTTGGCATTATTTTAAAAAACAAACAATAACATACGATTTTCGGAGAGGGGGGGGGGGGGTTAGCTAGCCTCCCACCTTTTGCGAAGATGGACATAGGATATGCAATGGACCTTTCTTTGCAAATATTGTTCTCTCAATATATTTTATCAAACTTAGTATGTTGGTGAAGGCTTGCAACTTTGTCGACAAAATGAGACATGATATGCTTTTATGTCCAAAACATTACTCCATACAATCTGTTGACCAGCGCAAACACAATTTCTATTCTGTGAGGTGCCTGAAGGAAATCCTATAACTGACTAATTTTCCATCTAACTGCTGAACAAAATTGACATATGTACCAACTTTTCGAATCTAATACATGTAATTACAATTTGTTATTCATGCACCGCATACTGTTTAACATTTTCAAATTAAAAAAACTAAGCATCCTCCTTTCAGAGGCCCATTTGAAAAATAACTTCTTTCACCAGAGAAAAGAGATCCACCATAGACACTTATGTTAAGGACAATTTTTATCTTTTTTCTTGAGTTTTAAAGGAATCAACAAATTATAAAGACTTGTTACATGGGAAATATAATATAATCATGGTAATAAACGCATCCATCCACAGAAGATATATGTACATGCCAACCACATGCTTAGTGGAACGATATAAACGAGGAAACTCGAGCGATAAACAGAATAGTTTTTCCAGATTTGATGTAGTGGAGTTAAAATCAGGTTTTTTTCATTAATCAGACGATGCGATGCAACAAATAAAAGTAAGAGTTATATAACCTAAGGATTATTACTTATTAATTTCTTGTCTTGATGTTGTTATGGTCGCATTTGATCTAAATCAATGTTATTTGAACTCTATGTGACAGAGGAATGGCAAAAGATCCCCATATGAAAAATCAAATTTTCAAAAATGATGGGCAGGGATAAAAAAAAAAAGCGAAACAAATGGTTGTAGAAATATTATTCATGAATCGAACTGACATTATTTTTAATGCTTTTTTTATCTGGTGAATGCTGTAGCTGTGCATTGCTTCATTTTCTCCTAAATTAAACAAAATAAACAGAATTATTTACAAGTTTTGGTCTCTTACAGTAGGTAATTAGTGCATTAGCACTTTGCGTAACTTTGGGCTAGTTTGCTAGAGCATTCTTGGTATTTGTTATTTTACACAATACTTGATCCAATATGGCTTGTACATCCCCCTTAAAGTCTGATGTGTCTTTGATCTATGAATTTTGTTTTTGAACAATGGGCACAATAACAAAGCAATAAAAAGGCTACACCGATGTATGTAAAGAAGTATTCACTGTTGAGATGTGGGTAATAAACTTTAAGAACTTGAATAAATGAAGGAAACAGAACAAATGAAATTTTAACAAAATTTAATAAACAAAACAAAAGTAAATTTTTACAACAAAAAACCAAATTAAAAAGAATATATAGAAATAAAATGTTTATCAGCAGCACGTCCTGGAGAATGTCCTTTAAAAAGTTACTGTAGTAAATTATTCACAACACCCTTGCAGAAGATTTGAGTTCTGGTTTTGTTAAATTAAATCGAATATAATTTCACAAATAACACATTTATCACAGAATAAACTTTCACAATGTCTGGATTAACTTTGGTTTGAATTGACATTATTTCAAACAGGTGATTTCGTTATTCAAGATAAACACATAACTTTAAATTGCTGGTCCCGAGGTGTCCGTCAGGGCTGCCGTACTCTGTCATACTCTCTCACACATTTGCCGCTGTAACTGCAAAACCATTACACATTGCAAGCCTCTCCCTCCCACCCTGGACTGCCGACAGGCTATTGTCAATGTAAATAGCTGTAGTTACCCGCCCAAGACCTGATAATTACAAAACAGGACGAAAGCCTGAGGAAATAAGACCCTTGGGAAAAATATAATAAAACAACTATACTAAACGTGTAGACTTGGCTGCATACAGACGCCCAAGGAACCTAAAGGACATGGTAGTAAGAACTAGACTGGACAACCCATTACCTAACGGGGGCTTTAAAATTTGTTCTGACAAAAGATGTCTTCTTTGTAAGTACAGCACTGACATGGACAGTTTTAACAGCCCTGTTACAGGCCGCAGCTACAAAATACTAGGGAATTTGTCCTGTCATACTGACAACTGCATTTATCTCATCAGTTGCAAAGTTTGCTCCAAACAGTATATTGGTGAAACAGGAGATCTCCGCAGGAGAGTCAATAACGACCGTTCGACCATTAGGACCAAAAAACTCAATGAACCTGTTGGGGAACATTTCAACCTTGAGGGTCACAAATGGGAAGACATGACAGTAGTGGTGATTGACCATAACCCAAGATGGACAGAAGCTCAGAGAAAAAGCAAGGAAAAGTTCTGGATGCACAGACTGAAGTCATTCCGCCCTAATGGCATTAACAAACTGAATGACTTCACCAGAATGAACATAAACTAGACCCAATTCCTGAAGATACTAAACAGGATTATTCTCTCAATTTAGTGCTAACTCTACAGTTAATTTGCGTCACCAACTCTCGAACAACCCACATAACTATGAATTGTTTACGCCTTTGTTATTTATTTTTTCCAAATAATAAGTCCAAAAATATTTAGAATTTATAATAGATCATAATTCATATTTTAAAATATCCCTGCTGTATTATTTTTCTTTGATTATTCTTTATCATATTTATATTATTATATTATATTTATATATATATATATATTTATCATATTGAGAGAATGAAACAATGTACGATTTTGTCGTAATTATTTAGCATAATTAATTCGTTCAATTATGTAAATCGCACTTCACCCGAGCATACCCGATAGACCGGACGTATTTCATAGCGGTCCGGATTTATTTCTTTAATTATAGTATTCTTAAAAATTTCCAATTCAACATGTAACTAAGTTTGTAAATATATAGTGTTTAGTAGTTAAGTAGCAGTGCTAGTTGTTTTTGTTTTTCTTTTTCCTTTGTTCTTATGACCTTTAAACTTTTTTTCTTTGTCCTGAGGAAGGGACAGGGCGTCCCGAAAATTTGACAATTTTTATTGTTCGTGTCGTTGGTCATTTTAGTGCTTTATATATATATATATATATATATATATATATATATATATATATATATATATATATATATATATATATATATATATATATATATATATATATATGAATGAAGTGAAATGAAATTTCATAGTATTCCAACCTATCTGTTAACATACGTAGGTGACCTGTTTCCGTGGAAATGAAACATTCCCTGGTCCAAAAATTCAATGAAGGTTCAACAAAACCTCGTTTATTTGTGTATCAATATACAAAAGAACTAATGTGGGAATTTTTTTCAGGTGCATATAGTAGAAGATAATTCTTTATGGAAGGGACGGGTGTGTAAATCAACTTCGGACCCAAATATGAAAACTTTTGATGGCAAGTGAGTAGAGAAATAAAATTATGAATCATAATAAAGACAAAATATGGCGAAAACAAAGTTCAACAGTATCAAACTAAAATGTCCGTTGAAACAATACAAGTTCTAAGCAGAGAAATCACCGATTTCAAAAAGCACCAATGGTGAGATCAGAGGTCATTCAGGAGAACTCATTCCTTGTCCATTTGTCACACCTGCTTGTACTCCTTGTAGAAATTAATAAATCAATACACAATTTAATGTGTAAAAATGCTCAACAAGAAATACAAAAGCGTCAGTAAGCATTCCCTTATTGATAGAACTCACGGTAGTTAAGTGGTAGGGCGTTTGTTTCTTGATCAAGGGAACTTCATCCGATTCTTCCCGAGCAAAAATTAATGTAGTAAACTATCATTTATAAGCTTTAAAAAAATCGCTAATTGTTTGGCGTTTGTTATGTGTACAGGCGACCCGCGCTCGACTTTCATTCGCCTCGCCTTGCTTTCTAGAGCAGTTCCAGACCAGTCCCACTGCAGTCCCGGGGACTACTTTCTGGGACTGTTTGGGTGTCAGGTTGGGTCTGGTTGGTAATGTATATTAAAAAAAAACAGAAGAAGAGAGTCTGTCAAATCTTGTTTATGATTGGTTATTTAACTAGAAGGAGACTTTAATGGAAGCCAAACAACACACATTTATGATTCACGTGATAAATCAAATTTTTTCGTAAGCTTTCCTTATTTTTCTAGCACTTAAAATCATCTCCTGAAAATAATGTTTATGCTTACCAGTTTATTCTGTACGCAAGAATAAGTTCTGAGTACATGTTGTTTTCCTAAACTTGACAAGCTATTCACAAACACGCTGATGAAACAAGAATTTTAACATTCTCGTAAAAAAATTACGGTTTTACGAGTAGTATGGTTGATCAAATGGGGACATCGCCATATTCTGGTGAATAATTCAGATGTAGATCTATACTCAGCACTTCAGGTCATTGAGTGGCGGGACTCTTTATTGTGCAAACCATGATAGGGATTCCTGGGTTTAAAGCTGACATGAACTCTTAAAAAGGCATCATTTTTCATCTTTGTACGACTTACTACATTCCTGAAAGCCCTTGTCCGCCATATTTCGTTGATTCCGCCATATTTAATCGAAAATTTTTGGCCACCTGTACCTGTTATATAAAGCCTGGAACATTTGTTTCACTTGAGTGATTTTCTAGCCTGGCTGTCGACATGTACACATCTCAGATAGCATAGTTGTCATAAATCCATAAACTGACCGAATGCATGTTTTAAAAGCAAAAATCTAACAAAATCTTGAACTATGCTGAGAAGTAAATTATTTTTGAATGCATTTGCTGCAATATAGATAAAAAAAACACGGAATACATTTATGTACAGCAAAACCCGTTTGGATATGCACACATGCTGGTCGAGAAAACGCATCGAACGCAATGATAAAAACATTTACCTGAATACATGTCGAAAGAAATGTCCTATTTTACTTTTATTTAAATATGCATCTCAGACGTCATGTAATCCATTGCTAACTCAACAGTAAAAAATTGTCACCACATAACATTTTGACACACGTTGTCCACGGCGATCAGTTTATTTGGTAAGGGGAATTTTCAAAGGTGGAAAGCTCACTGGTATTTTAGTTGATTGAAAAAAAAATGCATTTTTTTTTCAGAAATCAAAATTTATAAGCATGGCTTAACTACATCAAACTTACTTTATAGCATACAGCATTACGAATCTTCCATCCTTTGACAAGATTTTCCTATGAAAAAGGGGGATGAAAAATGCATAACACTCTCCTAAAAAATAATTTGAACAAACATCTGAAAAAGATCGGGTTTCATTATGATCAATTATTTTTAAATAAATACCGTGTACTGGCTTTATTTTTTAAAATATAGACCTAATATAACTTGATTTAAAGTTATTTATAATTTTTTACACAATAAACGAGTTTGATTCTGTGGTATATGAATGATCAAAATAGAATTAATTGTTTGATGCAGAGGGGGCGAGTTCTAGATCGGAGGGTTGGAACCCCCCTTTATTTTTGTACACACAGAGAGAGAGAGAGAGAGAGAGAGAGAGAGAGAGTTCCTCCGTGTACCTTCACAACCCCGGCTAAGGACTCCGAACACCCTCAAGTACTATGCAAGGAAGATTCCAGCAAACTTTAGCCTTACCGTTTTTGGACCATCTTTAGAAGTAACTAGAAGTATGAATAAAATATTTTTAATCAATGAAGAGAAAGGTTTAAAATGTTCCCAAAGTATGCAGATGGAGGGGCGGGGGCTGACTTTTTCTGAGGATAATCTTTGCTGCAGTTTTAAATAATATTTTGATTTGGAAGCTCCCTCCACATTTTTATTGCCGGAAAATACGCAGATTCAAGCATTTTAAAGTAATGTACCGAACAGAAAAGTTAAAGGAAGCACAGTCCCCTCGATCTATCCCCCCCCAAAAAAAGAAGATTTTATAGTGTGGTGAATAGGATTTTTTTAATAATTTTTCTTTATTTGTTGATTTATGTTTTGTTTTATTTCTTTTTTGCTTGCAAACTGCTTTTGGAGGTCTCTCTCCTCATAAATGAAGCTAAGGACTTGAAGTGGCCGTGGTTTGATTGTATGCATGAGTGCTGGGGCACCGTCGTGGAACCCCCCCCCCCCCACACACACACTTTTCAAAACTGGCTGGATCCGCCCTTGTAATTGAATGTGAATAATATTTCTTGACGTAAAATATTAATAATTAAAAATAGTCATAGCATATAGGAATGGAAAGAAAATTGCCAAAGAGAAATCCACATTCTTACTAAAATTAGCTTTTAAACTTATTCTTCTTGTCTAAATAATTTTTGTCCAGATCCATACCTGAGAAAGTATTTGAGAAAGTTCACGCTGTTCCAATTCCTATGATGTAGATTTCACGTTTATATGTTTATGTTCCTTTCACTTTCGGAGTTTAGATAGGTTTATTTTCTTGTCAAAAGTAAATTATTATTATTTCAATTTTTGAACAAGTTTCGACATCCCCGCCTGAAAAAACCTTGATAATAAATGGTACAGCAAAAAGTGCGTAGGATTTTATTCCTAATTATTGCGCTGTTGTTACAGAGAGAGAGAGAGAGAGAGAGAGAGAGTTCATTAATGAGTAAATATGAATTATGCGTATTGAACCAAGTTTCAAGTATCCCATCCTAGTTTTTAAACTTATCTCCCGAATATTCCTACAGAAATTCTTCTTAATTATATATATATAAAAAAAGCTAGACTGTTAGGGATACTTCGAAAGACTTCCTGTAACTACATAATTATAAAACAGTCACATTCCTCAAAATGTACATACTTTGTGGTCGGAGTGAGACAATAAAAAATCTAAAAAATGGATTTTGCAGAAATGTCTGTCTTCCAAGAATATTTAGGAAACAGTCATGTCAGTTATTTCTCCCCCCTTAAAATAAACAAATGCCTAAATGTCAGTATAAATGGGTATGATCTCTCTCCGCGTGTGTGTTAAAGAACGTACAGATGTATATATACATAAAATTTTGAATTCAGGTTTAATGCTTTTTAGTGTTGAAAATAATTACCGTATATCAAACTACTTGGTTTAGATTTGAGATTAGTACTAAAATAATCAGTTATAATTGACATAAGAGTTTTGTGATGCAAAACAACCGCAGACTATATAGACAATTTTCAGTTATGTACTTTAAATTAAGGAGTTATAATTATACTTTAGTTACCCACCCCCCTTCAGCCGCACAAATACCAAATAACTTCTCTTTCCACTTGTGATATTTTCCCAGACCCAAATTTGATCAGCATGGACTAAGTGGTTTGATGTACTAGATTGTAAGGAGTGGTGACACTGTGTTTACTTTTGAGTTTTTATGGAGTTTATTTCCATTTTGTGATGCATATTCAAATAAATGGAATTCAGGGTGACTTGTGCACATCTTCGAACCGATGTAGTGATCTTATTGGACATTTGCGAAATAGCGTACAGCGAACAGCGGACTTAGGACTTCAGACATTTAAAGGCAGACTTTTCTTAGGGAGCGGTTTAAAAAATTGAAAAATATAAATTTATAACAAAACATCTGAAAATGTATAAGCCTCCAATAGCTATGAAAAATTAAATCGAAGAATTTTGAAATTCATATTTTGATTGGTTTAATTAGAAAGATTGAAAAGAATTTATTCGTGAACATTAAACTGTCTCGAAATAACTTATATTTTAGAGTAGGGGAAAAGTACCCTTTCTGGACCAGTAGCTTCCCATAGAGTTACTATGGAGTAGCCTGCTGAGGCCTGTTCAGTAGAGCGAGCGTTCGCGCTCGCTTGCCAAAATTCCTTATACCTCCAATAGTAATTTTGGCGAGCGCTCGCGAACGTTCGCCCTGCTGAACAGGCCTCTGGTAGCCTCCCAGGGTGTGAGGCTACTTATGACGTCATTCAATGAACAAATTACTTAAATTGATATAATTTAATTTTACTTGTAACACGCCATTTCATTGGATAAAAAGATTTTATCCATTTTGGATAACATAACTTGCCTACGTCACAATGAGTTACGTCAAAAAACGTATTATTCCGCTTGACGTTACTTTTAAAATTTAATCATTGTGAAGCCTTATGCTGGGGAGAAAATTATCTCATTAATTGTTTGCACTGAAATTAAATTATAAGGAATGAAGCTTAGTTCAACTTATATTATACGATATAACAAAACTTGGGACAGTTAACGTTTTTTTATAAACCGCTTCGCGGTTTATAAAGCGTAAACTGCCCCAAGTTATGTTATATCGTATAATATAAGTTGAATTAAGCTTCATTCCTTAATTAATTGAAATTCGACCATTTTGATTATTCAGATAAATTATAATTCTGTCATTTGACAGTGCCGAGTAAAGGTCAAAATTTGAAGCCCTTCACCGGCATACGGTGAAGTCTCCATATGAGTGAAAAATTCTCGAGAGGGACGTTAAACAATATA